ATTAACCTACTTATAGGCAGGGTAAAGGGTAATTTAGAATCAAAATGGCTCATATAATCCAAAACTGTAAGAAAAAGCATAACTATATTAAGCAATTGATTTTACGTTATAAAAATGCAAGTTATGAAAAATTACAGTTTATTAGTTCTAAGAAATAAAACGTGGACAGAGTAGTTGCTGACTACAAGAAAAGTAGAACTGAGCTTGCATGTCAAATCCTGACCAGTCCTAATCCAACTCACTGCAGAGCTGCTCACCTTTACTCCTTGATCTAAGCCCCATCCTTCTCAGACTAGAGGGCATAGGCAGATTCGAGACTTGTAGAGGGTGCATGAGAGTCACAGCTAACAGCAAAGGCCTGTATGTAACTGCCTGCCTTTTTTTTTTTTTTTTTTGAGGGGGAGGTTTTTGCCAAATTTTGCTTAAATTTGATGCAGACCAAAATTTCTTCTTGGTCCAGGTGAGTTTGGAGGATGGGAACTTAACTTCCAAGAATTTTTTTTTGCTCTGTCCAGCAGTGCAAGTAGAAGCTGGTATAAAGACACCATGCATCTGTTAACTCTGAGATATGTAATTTAATGAGCTACTTAAAAAAAAAAAAACAAACAACAAATTGGATAAGCATGTATACAGACAGAATATATATCATTTTTCACTATGCATGGAACACAGCTTGCAGACAATTTTTGTCTGTAACATACCAAATGCTTTCTCCTACTTGTTCTAAATTCAGATTTACAAATATAGACACTGATATTGAATCCTAGTCCTGTTAAAGGCAGTGACAGAATTAATGCTGGTTTCAACCAGTTCAAAATTTTTCTTTTTTTTAAAATTCAGATAAAATATTTAAACATCAGAAAGAAATGTTATAAAGAATTGCCCGTTACTGCATTTTCACGCATTTTAAAGTTTAAATAAGACACAAAACCATTACCTGAATTTGTTTCTTACTACTAAAGATAACATCTTCAAGTAGCTGTAAAAAGCTGCCTAGCTTCCTCTTACCAATAACACAAAGTATCAGCAACCCACATCAGCTGATGGCACTGAATCATGCTGTTCATGGTCCCTGCTCATTGTCTCAATGTGAGCCCTACAAACTTAAGGTCAGGAGCTTTATCAGGCTGCTGGGGAAGAAGGTGCTGGGCTCTTTAAGGCTCCTTCTCTTGGGCAAGGAAAAAAGGAACATCAGAAGCTGATGATTCAGTTAAGACACTAACCTCTGCAGACTCCAGTAGGATTATATGAATCATGCCTACCAAGCCTGAGCCTTCTGTTCATACTCAGATTACTCATACTGCCAACCCCAGGATTAGCATATAGCTAATTTTTTATGCATTGAACTGTGTGCTAATAACCTTTTTTGTAGGGAAGAAACCTTCACAGCTTCTCACTATCAGACTAGCTGCAGCAGGATTTTCCCTGAAGTGCACCTCAGTAAACCAGTGACCCACTTAAATAAAGAAATCAGAAAGTTTGGCAGGAGCAATGCAACCAACGTTGTTGTTTATATCACAGTAGTCATCAAATTCCTTAATAAACCAGTAATAAGAATGAACTGGTAGAAAATATCCCCTAAGAAAAATTGGAAAACCAAGGTTGAAAATCCTGGAGCTGACCACAAGCTTCCACTTACCTCTAAAGAAAGGATGATGGAACCCAGCGATAGGTTAGGCACAGCATTCGCAAAATGATAGTAGCCATCTAGAATATAATAAAGATTAAGGATGGAACAGCGATGTGCCTTATGTAAAGCAGGTATTTGGCCAAGCTATGCTATTATTTCTTGTAGAAACTGTAGAGCTTAATTTTTTCCACAAGAATAGACCTAAGTCTATTTGTAGTGGTGACTACACCTAGGTAGTGTTAAGTCAAATGTCTAAATCATACAAACCTTTTGCAATAGCCGTCTTGAAATAGCCAGTTTAGCTATGCCATCTTCTGATGTTAGATACAGACCCAGTATCAGAGCTGCGAAGACGACAGTGCTGGGGACCTAGCAGTTCTGGCTTTTGCAGAATGAATTTGCTGCGCGCCTTGGCTCAGTGTTACTGGGTGCCTCCAGCTGCGCTACCTTAGCTGTCCTGTTTGCCAAGGAAGCAGTAGAATCCCTCTTTTATTAAGGAGTGCTTTCTTTCTACTCCAGGACCATGCTCTCTATGTATGCGTGGCAAATCTGTCTGTACAGGGCAAATACCTTCTACGCATTTTCCAGAATTTCACAGAAGAAAGCTTAGAATCTTCTATATATCTCATACCAACTAGTAGCAAATATAAGTAAGAAAAATTGAGAACCCCAACAATTATTTTTCTTCCATCCTTATATTTTGATTTTCTTATCTTCTGCTCTAAATTACTGTTTTAATGGGTGCCAAGCCAAACCATCCCGAGGGCAGATTGTCTTACGTGCTTTGACAGTGTGCTTTGCCCTCCATGATGTGCCATCTGCTTGTTTGTCTTTTATCAGACAAAAGAGGACAACTTTGCATCTCACTGACTCTGCCGCCAGCCTGACCAACTCATAGTTGATAGTAAAAAAATTAACATATTCCATTTATTAGTCAGAGGAACTTTTTAAAGCTTTTAACTATCTTACTCTTCATTTATGTGTAGATACAATCTACTAGTGTAGACACAAGTATAAAAATGGCACATTAGCGCAGCTGTTTTCACAAATCATCAAGGTAACTTAACAGCATAAGAGAACTTAATACACATTTTAACTGTTAGGTAACTAACAATACTTAGTCTGGTTAAGCAGCTTTTTGTTTGCAGGCCATATCTGCACAAGTGGCA